CTTAGGAACAATTCTGTATTCCATGTCATTAACAAGATATAGACATCCCGTGTACTTTAGAAGGATCAGCAGCTATGTAAATGCTTCTTTTATTCTGTGACAAATTAGATTTTCTTTTCTTCTCTTGAGGAGCCAGATTGAACAATAGAATACTCTAAAAGAGAGATTGTTGACCACCAAGGCCATGTTTTTGAAAAATAAGTAGAAGAATGGAGACATGTGCTTGATGCTGTGAATCAATTGTCAGTGAAATCCTCTTGTAACACTCAGAATAGAGGCCCCAAAGTCAAGGTTTGCTTTCCCAGCATTCATTGCTTTTAATAGACTTAGCCTTGGACTTCTATAAAAGACTTGTTTTTGCAAAATCTAATTTTCTAACAAACTTAAAGATCTTCCTTTCTTTAATATTGAAAGAAAATGAGGACTAATTTTGCTTCTAAAGTAGCCATAAGACAATTAGCTTAAGTTCATTAGTTACTGGCAGTAGGTTCAAAGCTAGAGCACTATTGAGCAGTTACTCTTCTACAGGAAAAAAATTTCACTCATGTACTTCTAATATCTGTTCACACAACAAATTAGAAGTTTCTGTGAATGTAAAACATTACTATTTTTTAGGATGTAGGAGAAGGAGGGCATGCACAAATACAGGGGTGGGCAAAAGTAGGTTTACAGTTAAGAATACATAAAACATAGGGTTTATGTTTTTTATTATTTATTAATTATTGTATTATTTTCAATACAAGCAACTGTAAACCTCCTTTTGGCTACCCCTGTATAACACACAATATATTAAAATGCAGTGTATATACAATATATAATTGATGAAATATATAATATATAATTATTTTGAATACTGCTTAATAATTTATAGACAACCAGTCAAAACTATTATCCATGTTATTAAGCATGTCTGTCCAAGTGAAATGTAAAGTTTTATTTGTGGCCAAGAAATATTTTAAAAATATTTTATTTCAGAGATATTGTATGAAACATTACTTGGCTGCTAATGTATACCTATGTTTTGGCAATTAAATAACATATTTTTCATTTTGATTTCTTGCTCTGAACTTTCAAATAAAGCTTGTGATTTATTGAAAACTAATTGCATTTTTAAAATATTTATGATGTACAATACATTGATAAATAAAATCATAATCTGTTGAATTTCATTGATAGAGTCAGAGTGTCACAATAATCTTTTGAGTTTCAAGTCGTTATAGGAATGAATAATACAGTTTCATGTCAGGAGTAATATTGGCTGACAATCATTTTTTAAGTAATTTGGTTTTCTTTTATTTTTTTCATCATGATAGGATCCTATTTTATGCCTTTAATTTTAAGTACTATGCTGGAAGGAAAATCCGAGAGTCTACAAATACTGAGGCCAGAGAGAGGCAGCAGCATAACCACATACACGGTACCATAAAGCAAAAAGATCTCCCGGGAATAACTAATAACTTTCAGATGCACCTGGCTTTTTACCCAGTTGTAGCCAGAATAGTTGATTAAAATCATCTCCCTAAGTAAAATGTACTTACGATTTTATTATTTTATTTATTGATTTGGGAGAGGAAGAGGGAGAGATTGTATACATACATATAATGAAAGTAGCAAGGAAAGAAAGTAGATTGCAGAAATGACATAAATATATTTTAGCATGGCCAATATTCTGAATTAGCTTTGCTATTTCATCATCTGTAGGTGTGGCATCCACCAATGCGAGCAACTAATGGTCGGAAACTTTCAGGAGTTTAAGATGGAACTTTATTGGCCAAAGTTTTACCTGTGCAGGGGCGAACTCTCGAGGTGTCCGGAGACACGGTGCCAAAATGGCTGCAGATGAGAGTTGCGCCTGGCACTTACAGCCTAGGGTTTTTACTGGGGTGAGCAAGCAAGCAAATACAGAAGCAGACGTAGCTGTTAGCAATTGGCTATCTCCAGAGAACACACACACATGGCTATGTTCTCTGCTTGCAACAATGGATAGTTTTCTGCAAAGACAAGGTCATGCACAGGCGGTTTATCTTGTTCAGCACTCTTTGTACTTTCTGTACTTTCTATCTTCCTTGCTGAGTCAGTCTGGAGCCTGCCTCGGGTTCCTCTTGGCTACTTTTATCTAATTCCAGGCCTAACATAGGTTACCCAGTTATTTCAGTATTATTTGTTCTGAGTTATGCTAATAATGTAGAAATGGAGAAATGTCAGGCACCCTTGTAATTCTGAATTAAGCTAGTATGTCATTTTATAGGTTAAGAATACAAAAATCTGCTCATTTCAGGATACAAAAATAATATATGTTTATTAGTCAAATGTAATTCATAATGTGGGTCAGAAAAAATATAGCCAAATAACCAAGAAGGATCTAAAATATGTTTATTCTTGTTTTTCTTTTTTTACTTTGACACTTTACATATTTTCTTTTATATTGATAGTTGCTTTCAATGTAGCTTGAGAAAAAATTTTCCTAGTGCAGCAATATATTTTACTCTGTGGTTTTGGTGTTTTAAGCAATGTGAATGGTATGAATGAATGAAGGACTCTTGCTCTAAAATTCTCTGGTTGAGGTCTGGAGATCCATATGAATAATCAGAAGTAGTTAAAGGCCGTGTTCAGTTTGAAAGACAGCTCCAGCCACATTCTTTAAAGTGACTGCACTAGTTGTGCACTCCCATGGCCAACTCCAAATTTCCGTGTCTTGCTCCGGACATTCAAATAAAGAATGTGACTATTGTGATTAAGAGATCACAATAAAGATCAGATCATATTAACAGATCACAGTAGATCAGAATAAAGATCACACTGGAAAGCCTTTATAAATATCCAGTAACAGATGAAAGTATCTGTATCCTCACTCCTTGCTACACGCTATCACCAATTTGGTAAACCTTAGATATGCATACAATACCATCTTTTCATTTTGAATAAAATTTAAAATCAATTCAGAGGCCTATCCTGAAAATATTTTGTGTACTTTGCTCATTTTTAGGTGATCAAATTTTGAGAGAAACCTTTTGAAATCTACTTCAATAATGTCATATCTGAAAAAGATAATTTTCAAATGTATAAACTGCAAATGTTAAAACATATCACCAGTACAGTGAGAATATTTCAGAGCTTGGCTTTTTCTCCAAGTACATGAAAGCATAATTCACAGTGTATCAGAGCCTAATCTTTGGCAGTCATTAAATTATCAAATAAAACTCAAGAAAAAATAACAGCCTTGAAAACAAATGAAGCAACATTAAAAATAATTAGATATCAGTATTGTGAAATTTGAATGAAATAGTCGAGGAAATTGAAGAGATAGAATAGATTGGAGATTAATGAAAATTATCTGGATCATAAATAAACATAATTCAGTGGAATATCACTGTTAAATTTATGAATGTTTAAAGAAAAGTACAACGTCCCCCTTTTTTCTGTTATGTTTTGTATACTACTATAAATATTCATGAATAGTGAGTATCAGTTCAAGCTATCTGTGTGAATATAAATGTTCATATCACTGATCACTTAGTGTTCATTGAATCATGCTTTTGCTATTAATTCACTGGTATCTCAGATGCACTATGAATCTGACCCAGCTCATGAATATTCACACACACACTGATATTTCTGGAAGTAATCACATCTATAAAGATGGAAATCTTGTTAGTTTTCAATAATGAGAAATGCATTAGGATGCTGGGCCTAGAACACTTTTACAATACCCTGTTTTCATTTTTTTGTAAGTGATAAACTTTAATATGCTCTACATCTTTCTTATAGAAGTTCTTATTTTCTTTTACCTTTAAAAAAATCTTGTGCATGGTTTAAACATGATTGCGTTTGCTTCCTATATATTGGCTATGGTCACCAAAAAGAATAGAAGTTTAATAGTATCTCCAGTCCTTATCCCAAGCTAATTCCCACTGTTCAGGCTTGGTCATAAATTCTCAAGTATGGAGAGAGAGGCCCTATGTGCTAATCTGCTGGGGGCATGGTACATACTTTACAAAAATAAAAAATATAGGAGATTTCCTGCCATCTTTTTGTGTAAAGAGAAAATAATATTCTAAGCCAGCAAAATATTTAGTATGTTAGACATAGGATGCTGTGATTACAGAGGCCTGCATTTAAAAATTATATACCACTGTAACCCTTGTTTTATCCCACATTAGTAATGCTTCTCTTTTATTGTAATGAATGACATATGCTTGTAATGCTTGTCCAAGTCAGCAATTGCAAGTAAGTATCAAACTCAATGACCTGATCCTTATTAGCACCATATTCTAATTATTAATTGAGCTAATTAGAAAAAAAGAAAACTACTGTTCATAGGTAGTAATAAAGTATGAGCTACTTTGTATTTCTAACACTGATACTGTCAAACCTCTTTATGAATTTTTTTGCCAAAATGTGTACATTTTTGTTGTTGTATAAACACAATTTTTAAACTATGATCAATGACAAACATCCTTTTTTTTAACTTAGGGAGCAGACCAGATTATGTTAGTATATCACAGAGAATCATCAGTAGTTGAGGGTGTCCTGTAGGTTTCTTCAGAACTGTCTGAAGGGAGGGAGGTCTCCTCCTCCTTTTCAACCTGGAGAGCTCTGCTGTTGTTCTTTTATGTATCATAGCCATTCTCAACAGGGAGCAGTTTTTCCCTCCAGGGGTTATCTGCCGCTGGCTGGAGGCAGCTTCGCTTGTCACGACAAGGGGGATGGTACTGGCATCTAGTGGGGAGAGGATAGAGTTGCTGCTAAGCATTCTGCAAAGCAGAGGAAGCTCCCACAACAAAGAATTTCCCAGTACAAAATGTCAAAAAGCCCCTGCCCTATAAAAATCTCTTTGAAGAAATAATTCCATGTCTAAACATTTTGATAGCTACCGGATTAGAGTACTTTTATAGGTAAAGCAATAAAAGTGTATAACATTATTTTGCAAATCATTGGAGACCGATTCAATTATTAATTATAAATTTATATTACATACTTCCCTTTCTTTTTTTTTCCAGCAACAATTGTATTAAATGAACTCAACTGGACAAGTGCCTTAGATGAAGTTTTCAAAAAAAATCGAGATGAGGATCCTTCATTGTTGTGGCAGGTGTTTGGCAGTGCCACGGGCCTAGCCCGATATTATCCGGGTAAGTGCTTCCTGATTTAATAGGTACCAGATAAAATCGCAAGTGCGAGACTTCATATTACCTTCTCCTACACTAAAAAAAAACCAATCAACAACAACAATAAAACAATAGTTCCCATGTTTTTAAAGGAAAACTTAAAAACATTTAAAGTATCACTTTTAAAAGGAAAGACTTTCTCCTTACAATGCTCAGTATGTACCAAAATTACTTCAAACCAAGACACTGAGAAGCAGCAAGAGTATTTATTTAGCACCTGGAATCAGGACAGGTTGCTGTGAGAGCAGGAGCAGGTATCTGTGGACCTGGATCAGGAGGTTTTCCTGAAGCCTAAAACAACTCTGAACAAAGACCCAACTGCTCAAACTGAATATAATTTTTAGAAACTAATTGAAATATTTCTTTCCAGATTTTAAGTCTGTGCTTCAATATAAAAAATGCATTGATCCTTTTCTTTAATTAACAAATGTGCACTTGTTAAAATGCATATGATAGGAAATAGAATGAAATTTTAATGAAAACAAAGCTTCTTTATTTGTCAGGTTGAATTCACTTGAAGGGCATCTTAGCAATGATATATGTATATTCAATGAAGATGAATATGTTTTATACACTGAAATGAATAAACCCTTTTGTAATATACTTTACATTTTCTTATAAAGAAGGGCAAGGAGAAATAAATCTAGAGCAAAAATGAAAAGTTAATCACTAGTGAATCCTGGGAAACAGTTGAAAGAATTTTTAATGAAAAGTCTGTTTCTCCACTTTTAAGAACAGCTGACAAACACGAATGCATTTTCTTTCCCAAAGACGTGTCCTGAGAGTGTGGTACATTAAGTAATTAGACTTTAAACAATATAAAGGAGAATTTTCCCTGAGATTTGAGTTTTACTAAACATGTTTAACAATAGAATTTAGTCACAATAAAAAATTCACAACAGTGAAAATGGGGTAAAATAGAAATTAGGTAATATCTAACTTTTTATGGCAATAGAAATAAATAAAAGTATGTCAGCTTAGTCAAGTAAAGACATTAATTAGGTAAAGACATATAATCTCATGCATATAAATGCCAAATGGTAAGATCAGGGACAGTTATTTTTTTTTGCAAAAATCCAACAAGCTAGGAAATAAATGCCTACTTTGTATTTCGATGTTGAAAAAATCATGAGTTAATAAAATATTAATGGTAATAGTTGAGGGAAAAATATTACATAGGTTGTTATCATACTAGTGGAATTCTCTATTTATAGAATATTATTTAGTATAATGGAACCCTTCTAAACTATTCTTCAGTTATGTTATTAATACGTTAAATATCATACATCAGGATATTGAAAATTTTAGAATTGTATATAAGATAACAAAAGGGGAAAAAGCAACATTATTCATACACATAATAAACGTGTATAGTAAATCTTAATGTTATACCAGATCTTATTAAACATTTATAAGTATAATTTTTGAGTATAGGAATTAAATACCTGATAACCCATCTAATACATAAAAAGGTAAATATACCTATATCAGTAACTTATAGCATTATATAGCTTTTAAGTCTTTTATAATATATTGCCTCATTACAAATTTCCATATATGAGCAGCTGAGTGAAAGGAGGAAGGGATGAGAGAGAATTACTCATGAGACACTATGAGCTCAGTACTGGATGAAAATTGATGAAGCTGAGAAAGAGACAAGGATTGGAGAGAAACAGGAAGGGGAATAAAGGGGATATTGCAAAAGAAGGGAGAGAACATTGGGGTCACAGAGATGGAAGTAAAGATAGGTTGTGGTGTTATAAGTACTTATCAAAGATACTTCTTTTAACAAAAAGCATTTAACTTTCAAACTCACTATATAATCATCTTCACTTCTTTCATTTTAAATGCTAATTGAGGTTTCGATTTTTTAAACCTTATTTACATATTTTCCAATCTGTTGCCATTTGTCCACTTTACTTTGGAAAAGATGTTTAAGTGTTTAATTTGTCTGATTTTGTGAGGTCCCCTCAGAACATTAGCTGTGGAAGCGACCCTGTGTTCTCCTGAAACACCTAGTGTTTGAGCAGTGGTTCGGCAGACAGACTGATTCACGGAATGACTCATCAGCTGAACTCATTTAGCTATGAGGAGAGGTTGTTCAAAATTGCTTTCTTGACTGCTCTGAATACACTCAATGTAATTTCAATTTTAGTGAAACTTGTTATTTTTTATTTTTATTATTTTCGACTTACAACAATCTATACATAATGTATACAGTTTATACAACTGTCATACCATCACCACAGTCAATGCCATAAACCTATCCATCATCCCCAAAGGTTTTCTCCCCCCACTTTGGCTTATTATTATATTTTTTGCGAGAAGAACACTAAACATTAGATTTACCCTCCCAGCAGATTTTTAAGTATACGATACAGTCCTGTCAACTACAGACACTATGCTACACAGGTCTCAGGACTTACTCCCCTTACACAGGGAAACTTTGTACACTCTGACCCCATTTCACACTTCCCCTCTTATTTCTTCTTTTCTTCCCTCTTCTCCGCCTCAACCCCTTCCTTCTTTCTTTATCTCTTCTTTGTCAGTTGTTTTTGAGTTGTTAAACACTTTTTGAAAAATAGCTCAAATATATTTTAAATACCTAATAGCAGATGAAAGGCAGTACAAAGAATTCACTTTTGGTTATTTGTGAAGTGGGTATTTAATAAACCTCTAGCCAATCTGAAGACAATGGAATGGCAAAGGAGCTTCACTGTTTTGGTTTGTAGAGAAGTACTGCTTTCAGTGAGCAAGTATCTTTTAAAAAGCACCTGATTCTTATTTTTTACTTCAATATTTATGAATGGATGCAAAGTTTAACTATAACTATTTAATTCGATTTGTTGATTACTATATATATAAACATACTTTAAATTAAGATGATTACTTTTTTTCCTAATAATTATTAAAGTCTATGGTGTCAGTTAGGACTAGTATTAGCTACCAATTAGAGAAAAATCCAAAACAATTGTTGATTTTAACACCACAGAAACTGGTTCTTCACTCAAGTCAAAGAATAGCGGTTATATAGATCAGGTCTGTTGATGGGGAAGCTTTACAAATGAGGGGCCCACACTCCTGTTGTATTTCCCTGTCATTCCCTGTCATCTGTCTCAGGGTCCATCACTTTTACTTGTGAACTTTCTTAAGCAACAAAGAACTGTGTCCCCTTGCTTTTTCAGGGCATTACCTAGAAGTCACCCAGAGCCTTTCCTCTCATGTGACACTGGCCAGAGTTCAGTGGTTTCAGGGTCACAGTTACCTTGAAGGTGACCATGTACAGAGTGAAAAAGCAGGAGCTATCTTAAGTAAGGAGAGGAGATACTGAGGGGAAAACAAAACGTGTCTGTTGTGGTTACTTGGTGCTAATCTATGTTTTACAATAAGTGGTTTCTGCTCTGTAAGAAATTTCGATCTATTCAGGCAGTCAAATTTATGCTTTTTTGCATTTAAATAGATTATAATACATGTAATTAAATCATTAAATGCCAAACGAACTAGACATACTGTAGCAACAGATTTGCTGTAGGAGTTTTGAAGAAGATAAGTTGATTATAGACTGGAGTTGTGGGTAAGGTTTATTAATTATGTATTAAATTAAGTCAATGAAGAAGAAAAGGCAAAACTGTTTTAGGGGGAAGAAAGGCACAAAGTAAAAAGAAAAGAAAACAGGGAAATGAACAAATACCGTTGGAGCCTAGTGAGCCTTGTGAATCCAATAGTGTGTTACAGGGAAAGGTTTATGAAGGGCATATTGTGTGGTCTGGAATGTCAGAATAGTCTGTCGGAAAAATACCACAAACATTTTGGGCAGTGAAATACTGTTGTTATTGTTAAATTAGTGATTCCTCTGACTGGAAGGATAAACACTTAGAAAGCCTCGACCCAAAAGTATACTGTTGTAATGGTCAGACGTGGAACTTTAAAAACCTGAACAAGGGACCAAGTACGAAACAAACAAGAAGAATCCATGCATATAAAAAATGAGGATATTAGACATTTCACAAAAATGACTTGACAATGATATATTATGAAATGATTACAACTGTAGTGTTAGCTAAAAACTTCATAACCTCGCATAATTAGTTGTTTTATTTTCTGTGGTGAGAATTATAATCCCATGGTGTACATTAGATCCTCAAAACTGAACTCATCAAATATGAAGTTTGTAACCTTTGACATCTCCCCACTCTCCAGCCCCAGGCAGCCACCCTTATACTCTCTGTTTCTGTGAAGTAGGCTGTTCTACATTCCACATGCGGCTGAGATCATTCAGTGTTTGTCTTTCTCCATCTGGCTTATTTCATTTAGCCCTCACATAAGTGTATCTTTATAATATATTGTGTGCCTTAAAGGTATATGATCTTATATCTGAATTATATCTCAGTAAAAAAGATAAATGAAGTAAAATATAAAAAGTAAATGAAAAAAATGTGTGACATGTTGGCTATAAATTAACTACAAATTTTAGCTTATACAATAAAAGGCAGTATATTATTTTGAAGTCCTCAAATTCTACAAATTTATGGAGGTGATTCTGTAGCCTTATTTTTATTGCTTTTTAAAAATAACCTCCTCTCTTACCTGAGTCTCTTATTTTACACATGTAAGGGTTGTAATAGTTGTTCACTTTTCAATCAGCTATGCATCCAGTTAAGCTTAAATTGAGTAAATGTTTTTTTTTAAGATTTTATTTATTTATTTTATTTTTAGAGAGAAGGGAGGGAGAAAAAGAGGGAGAGGAACACCAGTGTGTGGTTGCCTCTGGCACACCCTCTGCTGGGAATCTGACCCGTAACCCAGGCATGTGCCCTGAGTGGGAATCAAACTGGTCGGTCACACTTTGGTTTGCAGGCTGGCATTCAGTCAACTGAACAAAACCAGCCAGCACAAATTGAGTAAATGATTTACTGATGGCAGAGAATAGTTAAATAGGATGCTAATATTAAAATGGAACAGCT